CTGCCTACTGGCCAGGTGATGTGGAAGCACTGGATGCAAGATGAGTCTTGAGCATCCACAATAGTATTGGATTTCAAGAAACTGACAATTGACTTGCTTGTCTGGAAAGAACCTGGTACACCACCGGCTGTTTGGAGATGTTAGCTTCTTGCTAAGGAGCAGATTCTCGCCTGTGCTGCCGAACTCAGGGGCTGGGTGCCCTCCAAATCCGCGGTTTTCTCGCTCGACTGTCTTGAGGATGTAGTGGATAACGGGCCTCAAATTCTAATCCAAGAAGTGGTACAGCAACCATCCAAGCGATTGAAGACCCCACCTGCACCTGTCAATGATCTCAGATTGTTGTGATGCCTGGCATGGCAAGGAATTCCGGGGCAAGTTGAAGCACAAATGGGGCAATCTGCATGATTCCTGCCTGTAGCTTGTTGTCTTCTGTGGCCGCAGCCGTGCTTTCAATCTGAGACTTCAAGTCTGTCAGGGCTGCGATCCTCTTCTTTTCACCTCAGAACTTGCCAGCTGCAGGACAAGCCGGAAGACGCAGAACACCAAACAGCGACTCCTCAGGGCCCTTCGAAAAATAGAGAAGCGCCCGAGTTCCAGACTTTCAGCCTCAATATCTTGCTGGTTGGCGAGCTGTTCCTCTGCTCAGGGGGGCATTTACTCACATCTCTTGAACAAGTAACCCTGGCCCGCCCTTCCTGTTTCCTTACTTTTTCGTGATTCCGTGTCGAGGCCGTCCTTCAGCTGGCGATTCTGCTTGTCTAGGGCCTCAATCTCCCGATTCAGGGCGTTCACCTCGGGAGAATGCCAAACTGGCTAGGTAGGTGGTGAGGATCAGCAACCCAGGGTCGAGGACGTAAGTGAGCAAGCTAAAGTTGCGTTGCTCGAGAGCTACGAAAATCTTCACCTGGCCAGAAGCTTGGGTGCAAAAGAGGAAGAAAACGATGCACTCTCTGCGGAAATCAATGATTGTCCTGGCTGCCGCCCAGCTGCAATTTCCTCAATGTCCGAGATGCCGGTTGTTGATTTGATTGTTGCAAAGGCCTGAGGAGGTTGTCGAGTCAGTCAGGAAAGCATTTGGCAGCCATTCTCCGCAGCCTGCTCAAAAACTTCGATGTTCTTCTGGTGTTGCCGAATATGCCTGCACACTGGAAGCATAGGACTGGGGAGCTATGACTAGGAGGACTTGTCTTTGTTCAGTAGTGCACCGAAGCATCACCGAGGACCTTCGCTGAATTGCGTTCAAGAAGGCCAGCTTCAAAATTCGCCGCATGACAAGCGTTGAATTGAAGTGCTCCTCCTCATCGGCCTTCACAGGTCTAACCAAACACTAGAATCCTGAAAAGCATACCTTTACCTGACAAGCCTGTTTTAGCCAAATAAAACTTAATTAAGTAAGGTTACTAGCTACTTCAGCCTTAAGCTACTATATATGGACGCAGGATAGCTCACTTGAAGAAAGCCCCGTCTGAGGGCGGGGGGAGCTTCCTTGAAGAAGCGCTCGCACTAATGATTTGGCTCCTATATTTTTTTGGAAAACTAAACATATCTGTGGAAAAGCATGCCCTGGAGCATGACAGTGCTCTCCAGCTCCTACGTTATGTCAACAGCCTTGAGGCTTCGGGTCTTGCTGCCCTTCCCATCCAACTCCTCCTTCTTGTCAGACTCCTGGGTGCAAATCAGGCTGCGTTGTCAAGTTGTCAAGGAGGTTAGCAGGGCAAAACCTGATAAGACTTCTTCAAAAGGACCTTCCGTCCAATGGCCAAAAATGGCCAATGGCTTTCTATTATGTCTCGACTTGTGCGGCAAGTGGCATAGTAAGAGTCTAGGTCTAGATAAAGCCCTCTACGAATTGACCTGACCCTATTGCAAGGGCAGCATGAAAAGTAGGTGTGCACCTTGAGAACACCCTTTCAACTTTCAACCCCCTTCCCCCAGTGGTCGATGCTTGTTTCTGCAGGCAATGCCCAGCACGACAACACAATGAGCTGTCTCTGAGTCAAGCGGGCAAGATGGGAATCTGTTGTGCATGCTGTAGCGCTTTAGGTCCTGCTGTGTCAAAAAGTGACAGGTGTTTGGGCCAGGTGTTGATGTGCAAGAGCTATCAATGTGTGCTTGACGCCGTCCTTTCGGTGGACCCATGTCAAGATATCACATCTTGTACAAAATGTCACGGACACAACATCTTAAGAAGCTGTGTATATACAAACATGTCCAAAGACTGCCAAAGACTGAGCCTTGTTTTCTCGATATTACGTGTTTCCACTACAAATCATTCATTTGATAGCCTTTGATGCCACACATTTGCCATGGACAGCTCCATTTCAGATATTGGATCATATGCATCAGCCGTTGCATCATGACATGAGACAGAAACAGTTTCAAAAAAAAACAGAGAGGAGTGAGGAGAGCATTCCGCAGCCCAGGTCGCACCAGGCCTTATCTGCGCCTGGCTTCTGAAATGGTGTATATATCCTTACTCTTTATGGATGCCCGGAGAATCTCAGGATCAAAGTGAGTGGCCTATGGTTGGAGTACTGCTAGCTGCTAGCCGCTAGCCGGACGATATTCAAACCTGTCATGACCTGTAATAACTGGTCACCAAATGGCTGTGACAGCAACACAACATTAAATAACAATGCTCACAAAAGGCCAACTGCCACTTGAAAGAGACGGGCAACATGACACGGCTCAGAAACAGGTGCCCCAAGCAGGTCTCCCAACATCCATTACATTGCTTCACCCAATGATATGAGTCATATGAGGATAAGGTTGGTTCAATGAGGTCGAGCAAGCTGCTGCTTCATCACTTGAAAACTAGTTGAAGCCGCGTCTTCACTCCTTGACCATCTTTACTCTTTCTTTCAGCTCATACTGCTCACGCTCTTTGTATTGCACTTTCAGCCTCATACGATTGGATGACGGATGACTTTGACAACATCAGTGGGCTGGCACAACCTAGGGAGTCCGCTCTTGCACTCTCCGCTTAAAAGCTTTCCGTTCTTCCTCCACCTGCCCGCTGCTCGCAAAGTGGCAATGGCATTGTCAACATTTAGCATTCACAAAGCCACCATCCATCAGGCCGATCCCTATGCACCTGCTTCTTTAGAGCAGCCATTTTGTGCATGCGCTCCTCTTGTTCTCTGCGCCTTGGGTGGCCCATGGTGACCCAGTACACCCACACGGCCCTGCTACTTCATCAAAGGACGCAATACTTTTGCCATAGTATTTATATAGCAAGGAATGACTCAGGCACGTGTCTATCCTTAGCATTTCTGTTGAATAATTTGGTTGTCGCGTCAGAGCCATGCCCAGCCATGACTCAAAACTTTGTCGAGCTTCGCTGCGTCGCTTTCACGATGGATTTGCGACACCGTACCTTGCAGATTCGCCCAACCATGTTCACTCACACCAAAACTACTAGCAGCACAGAACGAACACGGCAATCAACAAAAGCACTCCCATTCAAATGCTGCGGTCAACGACTGTCTTCCATGAGCTTTGTCCGCCCTTTTCAGGCAATTCAAGCCGGGCCACTCATGTTGTCTTTAATGTCCTGAGAGTGGACTGAGGATGTGTTCGATTGTGTAGGTTCACTGCCACGACTAAGGCTGGTGCTTGTTGAAGCTTCTTGAAGACCTGGCACGCACGCCCCAAGCAAGGAGAATGACAATGTTGCAAGCCATCCAAGTCTTTTTGTGTAGAGATGTATATATATATATTTATAGATATAGAGGGAGAGAGAGAAAGAATTATATAGATCCATGAAGGAAGCAGTCAGTTGTGAGGCCTGAATCAGCTGCAACCTTTCTCGACGCACTACATCTATTCGATTGCGACACTCGGCATTCTCCTTGGCTTCCCAGGTTGCAATACAGTGCCGTCAGGTCTTACGTATGTGTTTGCTCTCAAGACTTGGGAGCTTAAGTTTAAGCGAGCATCGTGGCCCAGCAAATTGAGCTGCGCAATGGCTTTGGCCAAGCGATTTTCGAGCTTCTTCAATGGGACCCCCTGAAGAAGGCTGCAACTGGACACACTGTTTCAAATGCCTACTACAGCCTGACACAAGTCAGGGTCAAGCAAGGCCTGCCCATCCTTTTGTACCTTGAGAGTCTTCTCAGTGCACTCTGATCTCATTCTTGCAGCATCCTGGCAAAGCCATTGTGCTATCATCATCTATCATCCAAACATTTCACTGTTCAACATCATGAACCCTCCTCATCCAGCTTGTTGAGACGTCTCTTTTCCAGCTCAAGCCTCCAGGTGGCTCTGAATCACCACAGCATTGGGCACACCAGCAAACATCTGAGAACCCTGCTTTCTGGTTGTCGACTCAATCTCATTATGCATTCCTGTTCGAGCATTGTGGTGCAAACAGTAACACCGCAAAGCTGAATCATGTGCGGGTCTCAGGCTGCAGCTCTGCAAATGATCCTGCAAATACCTTTGAGTGTGGGCTGCTGGCATGAGAAGCAAATGACTTGGTGTTTGTGATCAATTTGAACGTGCCATGTTTGCTTAACTTAACCACACTCGGCTCAGGGACGCTTGATGTGCAGGTAGAGCCCTCTGGGTGGCGATGCGGACTGTCGCCTCGCCATCTGTGCTTTCTTGCCGCTGCATTATGACCTTGGATAAAAGCATGCTGCGCTACCTGGAAGCAACAGCATGTGCAGCATTTGTGCATGAGAAACACTCGCCTCCCCACCAAACCGCACTTCGGAATTTCATACAATGCAAGCGTGCAGCAGTGGCTTCCAGTACAGGACAATGTTCGTGAACGTGCTCAGATAGACAGGGAAGTGTCTACTGTCTACTGTATGTGCTTGTGGGTCGGGTTAGTGACCTGTCGTGATGATGGGACATAGGTGCACCCCATTGAGCCGACCGTGCTGCGCTGTCAGAATGAGGCAGGTTGGCCCACAAACAGCCTCAAAGATCCTGAAAGCATGTGTTTCAGGTCTCAAAAACGTCCACAACTGCGAAAGATTGTGCAAACTGGCCTAGCTTCAAGTCACTCAGCCGGCGGACACTGAAGCCAAAGTTCTTTAGCAAGCGCTCCTTTGCAACTCCAGTGCCGTGGGGTTCCCAGCACCAAAGGTGTGCTTAGAGTCCAACGTAGAAGAGGGCATCATTCTCTGGCGCTTCCAATTCATGGTCTGACCTGCAGTGAACTCTGCTCTAGCAAAGCGGTCTGTCCACTTGAGAAGCGGGAACGAAAGCGAGAGAATCCTTTGATCATTCCAAACCATCCGCAAAAGAATTACTATCAATGGAGGGGATGGTTTGCTCCTCTTCAGCGCTAGTGTCACCAATAAGTCTTGTGTGGAAATGCCCGAACCTAATCTGGAACAACCTTTGTGTCGCCAAGCTAATTTCAACCATTCAAGTGATGCTTGCGATGCATGTGTCCTAGGGTGGGGGAGGGAGGGAGGGAGGGAGGGCCTCAATCAATACGCTATCAATTCGTTGAGGACATTGGTGCTGGCAAGTGGCCGTGGGTAGCTGCAGCTCCTTAAAAAAAATAAAAGAGAGAAAAGCAAGTCGTGGTGAGCTGGGAACATCGGGAAAAATGGAATCACATTCTGGAACGCATTGGCAAGTGGGTGACGAAATGAGATGCAGATTTCAGGTTCACATCTGTAGCCACTTGTGAAACACGGTTCTTTCGACAGTTGGCAGAACATGTCCCTGAGCAATTGACTTCAAGATCTTATATGTCTAGTGATTAAGTGCATCTGAGGAGCACAACCAAACCCTTGCGGGTGTTGGCCATGCTCGATCAGCCTGCAGCAGCTGTGTTTGAATGGTTTTTTCATCAAGTGTGTCGTCTGCCACCGGCAAGCTTGTGAAGGTTTGAGACTGGTTTTGGTGTGCTAGTTCACGCACTATTCTGCCACTCCATTCCGATACCAGTATTCTGATACGCTTAAATTTCAACTAAGGAGCATCGGAAGCATAGGATCATGGTAAAGAAAGGCGCTTGGTATGTCCCTGCGACTTCCTCTCCAGTCACACTCCCCAAAGCTGTGAAACTGACGCGAGCGAAGAAATCAAAAGGCTTGGGAAGACCATGAATTCCCTGTCTGTATGCCCCCAAATGGTTCACAAGGGGAATGATTGGCTTTACAGGTGCAAGGAAAGACGGAAAAACTTGGTAAACGCTCTGCTTTTTGTGGCGCGAAAATACCGCACTCTTGATCAAAGCTCAGCCCCATGTTGGGGCCATAGATGCGTTATTCGGAACACAAAAGCTTGTGTTGCTAGCTCTGCCAAAATCAGTGAGGTAGCTCTTCTGCCTGCTCTGTTGGCTGATAGCTTGGGCTTTGCTGCCATGGTGGTGCCAGGAACTCCTCGGCACCAGCCTCCCTCATCAAATGAATTAGCCAACTGTTTGTTCCACGCAGTCGCTTGAGCTCACTTTCATGCGCAACCGCAATGTTCAACTTTGCTTTTAGATCTTTGACATCGGTGAACTTCGGTTGGGCATCCTGAAGCCATTTTGACTGCATGTTCGCAAGTCGAAGTCTCAAAGGAGACTTTGGTTCAGGATCTTGGTAGCTTGACCGGCTTGACCCACTTGGCCTTGCGCCCATGCTACCAGACTCCAATCGTTGGAGGCCGAAGCCAACATCTAGCTCAGCTAGCTCTGTTTCAAAGCCACTTGGGAGTTCTAGCTTCCGACGCCTACGCTCTGGGCTTGAGGTTTGGGTGGCAGCGTCACTTCCTGCAGAAAACATGAAGTCCATGTTGGCCTTGCCCACCACGTCATTCCTCGAGTTCCGAGCGTCTTCGGCCTCTCTGGCTAGAGCAACTCCAGTCTCTTCACTTGCTAAAACTCTCTGCTGTACCAAACCTTGCTTCTGCTGAACAGGCTCATCAGGTTTGTTTGCACCATCCCCTTCAGCTTGCATATCTTGCACGTCCGTCCGCCCTTGTGCCTCCCGTGCCGGCCGCACAGTCTCCAAAGAGGCTGCAGTTGAAGCATGTTTAGAGGCGGCTGCATGGCCTGTATGCAATGTTTCTGGCATCTCCAGGAGAAAGGCATCATCTTTTGAATCCTTTTTGACATTTGTCGTCTCAGGCACTTCTTGATCTGGCTGTTGGGCCAACTGCAAGCCTTGCATGCTTGCTGCACCCACAAAAAGCTAAAAAGGATCTCAGATTGAATCCAGCATAGCAGCCGTTAACAGCCTACAGCAAAGACTCCACAAACGAACTTATCGAGCCTCTGCAGCCCTTTTCCTGCAGCAACTTTCGGTGCTGAGCATCAGCATTGATCTGGCCAATCCTAAGTAGAATCATTCTCGAACATGCACGCAGAACCTGGCCCGTTCCTCCTCTCGGCCGGCTAGGTTCAAGGGCAGCTAGCTATGCAGGTAGTGACTGTCTTGCTCAAGTCTAGCCATTCAAAGAAGCGAAAGAAGGCAAGGCACGTCTCCAAAAGACGCTGCGATTGTGAAGAGAGGACTGTACGGATGACGGAAGGTAGAAAGTACCTACAAGCTGGTTGCCCAATGAATCAACTGCCCTCTGGGATTTCCCGATTTCATTTCGTGGCTTCTTCTTACACAGTGTCTCTCTCTCTCTCTCTCTCGGCTTAGCGTTTTCTGTGCCAAACTCACACCACAAACATCCACCCAAGAGCTCATCATGTCTACCCCTGCCCCAATCATATGTGCAGCCCTATTGCTGAACCATGCCACTTGAAACTTCCACGCGAGCCATACCCACGACCTTTGTCTTCGTTTCGGGCTCCGCACCATCGCGGACCTTGGTCTCGGCCAAAGCGGCCCAGGCAGAGACGGTGAAGGTGCAGTCTCACAGTCTCACTCCAAACAATTATATACAAACAGAAAGTCCAAAGAAAAGAGTTGAACAGGAAGCCAACCAAAACAAAACAAAGAAAACAGTCTCCAAAGAGGCCAGGCTATTAACACTCAGCTGAGGCAAGAGGCCAATCCTATTGCAAAGGCTGCTGATTGATGACAGCCTGCTGTCAGAGCTAGGGCTAGGCTCAAACAAGAGAGATACCTGTAGCGGTTCCACACCTACCATGGCATGCACCAAGCTTTAGACTTTAGACCTTCGTCTTTCATGTTTGTTCTTTTGCATGTCGCATGTGTACGCGTGGCATTTTCATAACACACCTTTTCCCTCAAGCTTGACGTACTGGTGCACCTGCATAGGACGGCAAGCCCTCCCAGGACACTGCAGCTGGCTGCCACAAGAGAACGTAACTCCAGAATGGGCGGCCAGGACCCTTTCCAGAGATGAGCTGGTCACGTGGCAAACCATCAAACACAAGTGAACTGAATAAATACAGTGTTCTCACTGTATCAAACATTAGCATTCATCGGTGCACCACAAATCATGCGGCCAGGTTTCACACTCCAAGCAATTCCTGTCATAGGCTTGCTGGGCGTCCCAGAAAAAGAACTGCTCGGCAGCCAGCCCCATTAGTCCGTCAAACTTGAAGGATACGAATCTGCAACCGCTCGCTTTGTATTTCATCATGCTTGGACCGACAAGATCATCCCACTTGGCACGCTCTTCTGGATCATCAACCAACGCGAAAACTGTTTCAATCGGCGCATCCAAAACAACCTCACACCGTCCACGTTCTACATAGCAATCTCGACTGTCGTCCCTTGCAGAGAGCCGTTGCACTGTGAGACCCGAAACTAACTCTGTCTCCCACGTAGGCTCATTGAGGGTCCAGCTCAATATCTCACGTAACTCAGATGCTTCAATTGGTCGATCATTCTGCCTGGATGGCAAAAGAAGCATTCCTGGACTCTTTTTGCTTTGTAAGTGTCCATCCTTCTCAGGCATTCCATTGCTCAGAGTCCTGGTTTCGCTGTGCCGCACTTCATGCCTTCCAAAGTCTTGAGCCGCATGGCTGCAAGCCGCACAAAAATAAAACATAATAAAACAGCTCACGCATGCTCTCACCCCTTTGGCATTGGCTTGCATGTGCAAGCTGTGCAAGCAACATGCTGACAAGCATTCAGCGCTCCAATTTAACGAATTCCATCAGCTCTGCTGTATCAATGGGACTGCTCGAGCCCCAAAGTTGACTCTACAAATTCTGTAGTCCAAACTGCTCCTCGAATCAGGTCCACAAGATCATCGAGGATGAGCAGTATTTGCGCTCTGTGTCTGCAACTCCTCCCTGAGCCTTTCAGCCAAGCTGGACCTGAGAATTTGATGCCAGAATCACAAAATGGTGAAGTTGGACCTGAGAGCACCTGAGATCTGCTAAGGACTGCCCAACAGCAAATGCGAGCACTGCGAGCACCAGCAACGACACTGTCAGGATCTTCTTGGCCGATTCCTTCTACGCTGCCATCATGCCACTTCCCTGCAAATGCTCTGCAGGATGGAAGGCCAATTGGCACTGGGAACTTTATCGCAAACATTCGCTTCTTGTCCGCAATAAGGAAACTTGGCTGCCACTTTTGGAGAAGGATCAGAGCCTCAAAGGCGGATTGGTCACTGAACAAAGCCCGATGGGCGACCGTGGCCTATGTGTCTCGAAAGGAACCGCCCTTGTGCAGATTGGCCTGGCCGTGTACTATATACAACACTGCTGGCAGCTGCCAACCTTCAAACTTCACGCACTTAAAAACATTGCAAAACAGAATGCTCTGGAGCTGAACCCACTCTGCTAATGATAATGCTGACGTTGACAACTGGCACCTTAAACACAATCACAAGACCAGCAGCGACAATAATAACGACGGTGTCGTGCATACAGCGTCGCACAAACGGTAGGAATCAACCGCACCTCTGCCCACCTGTCTGGCTGACAACAAAAAGCCCCACACACCTTGCGACATGAAGGATAAAGCCATGCATGCCATACAGAGACGGAGAGCGAAGGACACTGGCGGTGAACGAAAGCAAAGCGACCTTATATACTACAATAGTCTATTGTGAAGGTGTGATTGAAATTCCAGTTGTCAACACTCCTTGTTGCGTGTACGGGAAGCACAAGGCTATGGTTGCAGCACAGCCACCCGTGCGGCAGTGGAGAAAATGTGCCAAAGAGATTGGCAACGTTTGAGGTGGCCGCACTTGCAGAGGCGAGGGTCTCAGGAGGCAAAACAAAGTAAATGAAGTAGCGAGGTGAGCTCAGGTCAGGGGCAACCAAACGAATGTGAAGTGATATGTTGATGCACCCTACAGTAACAAGCAGCTGCACTAAAATGGCAAGAAGGAAACAAAAGCATGTCTAAGTCTAAGCTTAGAGTCTAGCCTCCGACCACTGCTCTTACTCATGACCAGTGCTAAAGCCAAAGTGACCCCAGCAAGCAGCAAGCAGCCTAGCAACAACCAGCTTTCGTGACTTGGACACGGACAGGAGCGACGTACAAAACATGAAAAATGTGCATAGGATTTCCCGAATGACAAGAACTCTGCACCAGGTCGCAATTGAACCCTACGTTGCAGGGCACGCTTCTGCTCCAGCTGCCGGCTCAGAGCTTCAAGTCTCAATGCCTCACCTTGGGTGTCTTTCTTAGAGTGCAGTACTTGCATGGAGCACCTGCCAGTACACTGGCATGCATTGAGACTTGCAAGACTAGGCACGGCTTGGATGGCGCATTGCTTCATCAGCACTCTGCATCCTTAGGCATCGGATAATAGCTTGGCAAAAGCACACCTGCCCCGCAAGAAATTACAGTATATAAGGAGCTTTGCTGAGCGAGTATCCCCGAAGCATCTCCCTGCTTTCTGAACTGCCCAAGCGCATCAAGGAGGGCAATCTCTGCCTGCATCAAAAACAATCAAACAAGATCTTGTTACAGTAAAATATATCATGTCATATCCGTTCAAGGATCGCTTGGAGGCGAGTCGTCAGTCCAACACGTGGTTTGACCCACCTTCTGGAGGTCATCACGAACTTCTTGGCCAGCCTCACTTCCAGTTCCGGAAGCACCTTCACTGCCTGCAATATCCTTTGTGGCTGGTGCATCTCGCCGCAAAATTGCCAAGGACTTCACGTCCTTCAAACCACTCCTCATAGCAGATGACATCCGTCCAAATCGGGAAACGCCATCGAGCTCGTTCATCACAGATGATGAACTCCTCCCCGACTTCGACACCTTTCTTGAAAGGGCTTCTTGCCACAACTCATCGAAACGTTCTGGCGCCACCTCTCCACACTTCTTCAACGCTCTTGCAAATTCCACGTTCTTCTTTCCCAACTTTGGCAGCGCCGTTTGTGGAGCTGCCACTTGTTCCAACTCAACTGCACCAAGCATCCCGTCCAGAATAAAACTACTCTCGGAGCTCGGTTGAAGCTTTCCACGTTGCCTCTGCATTCGCTTGCCAAGCCTTGGGTCCTCCAAATCATCTATCCAGTCTCCCTCGCTTGCATCACTGATGACAGATTCTGTCTCAATACGATCTTCATGAGCTTGTGATTGAATTGGTGCGTCCAAAACAATTTCGGCTACTTGATCACGCCCGTCTTTTTGAGGAATGTGTTCGGTCTGAAGGGGAGGTGGATCAGTCGCGCTCTCTTGGGATTGCTCCTGGGCCTTCACATTTCGAGCTGTCAAGGGCAAAGAACCAGACCTGGCAGAGCTAGACCTGGCAGAGCTGGACCTGGCAGAGCTGGACCTGGCAGAGCTGGACCTGGCAGAGCTGGACCTGGCAGACCTGGCAGACCTGGCGGACCTAGGCGATCTGGCGGATCTCGCAGATCTGGGCGATTGAGATCTTGCGCCGCTTGCGCTTTGTGGGTCTTCAAGCTCCAAATGCAAGTGCCGAGGCTTGGGGGAAGCGGGCGATGAATGGTTCTCTTCGCCCTCGTCCTCGCGGGCTTGCTTGGCTAAACCTCGACGCACTAAAAAGGCAAAGGAACCAGGGTTCGCGTTCGAATCTGAGGAGCCCAATGAACTGTCAGAGGCGCCCTCCAAATCTTCAATTCCATAGGCTGCGGCCTTTTTCTGCTCTTTTATGTCCCATTTTCCCCTCACACTCCTTCCGCTGGAAGCCTCGGATGAGCCGCCCAAATCTGATGCACTCGAACCATCTCTGGGCAGCCACTCATGGGAATGGCGCTGCATGGATGCCATCACATCAGCCATGACCTTTCGCTGGGGCCGTGTCAAAGCTTTGCTCCTTGCAACCCGCACTCCACGACTTCTTGGTGCAAAAAGTTCATCTACTCCGCCTTCTCCAGGTTCCTCCTTGGCTTCCTTCCATTGGTCCGTTTTGGCGAGAGAGTTTGAAACATCCTTCTCTGCCTCTTGCGCTTCTTTGGCCTGGCTCATCTGTCTCTGCAACATGTGCCCCAAGGATTGCACCAAGCGTGCTGGATGCATCTGGGCCGCCTCAGCCACTCGCAAAGCTCCTGCGGCAAGAAGATCTTTCCTTAAGGAGACCTCACATGCCAAATTGTGCAACAAGCCGACACCCTGTTGCTGCAATTCCTCGTGCTGTGGGTGTAGCAACAGTGCAGCAACTGTCAGCTCGAGACCACCTGCCTCACATATGGCCCGTTTGTGTTCTGCGAAGTGAGATGTGAGGTTGCACAGCGCAGCTATGGCTTGCATGTTTACATCTGCGTCTGTTCGGTGTCGAGCCATTGCTTCACAAAGCTGGCGTACTCCACCTTGTGCGACGATGGAAACTTTGTTTTCTGGGACACCGAGTGCGAGGCTGCGGAGTACTGCACAGGCCATTTGCGTGACTTCAGGTTCAAAAGGGAAATTCTTCATTGAATTAACTATTGCGCGGATGCAGCCAGACCGCGCTGCTCGAACCTTGGTATCATGCCGATTCACTACCAGATTGCAAAGAGCCGCACAGCCATTCTCTTGTATCTCCAAGTCATGTGGAAAACTGGCCATGCACCGTACCAAAAGTTCGATGCCGCCGGACTTGGTAATCATGCGCCGATTGATGCCTCGCCTCAGCGTGCTACATATGAGAAGCAAGTACTGGCAAGACCTTGCAGTTAAGTGACCCCCAAAAAAGAAGTAGACGACGGATGGTCCGAGATCGTTTATATCTAGGTGTAGTATATAGGTGTAGTTTTACTCTGGTGTCAGGTATGTTTGCAGCACGATGAAACAGTAAAGAGACGAGAGTTTTGAGATGGTCAGAGAGAGAGAGAGAGAGATGAAGGAGAGGGTAAGAAAAGGATGAGATGAAAAGGATGTTCACAGGAGGAGGGACGCAAAGGTCTTCAAGGCGGTTTTCATGCAGGTTTGCATGCGTTCTTGCAATGAAATGTTTGGGTTCAAGTCCTGCCCGAAAGATGTCTCCCAGTCGAGGTCTACAAAGGTTTGTGTGTGTGTGTTGCAAAAGAACTGTGTGCATTCAGGTCCTGCCTGCCCCAACGATGTTTTCAAGGCGATGTTTCAGCATTTTTTGTGCAGTTTTACCATGAACTGCATGGATTCGGGCGCTGCCCCAAAGATGCTTTCAAGCTGATGGTTATGCAGGTTTATGTGCAGTTTTAAAGTTTTACAGTAACATGTATGGTCTCAGGTCCTGTCCAAAAAATGTATCCAATGCTATGTACTATGTTTGTGCAGGTATCTGTGTGTGTGTGTGCGTGTTTGCGGTAAAATGCCTGGATCAAGGTCCAGTCGATGTTTGTGAAGGTTTTCGTGCGTTTGTGCAATGAAATGTGTGGATTCAGGTCCTGCCCCTAAGATGTCTTCAAGGCGATGTTTAAAGCAGGTTTCTGCGCGTGTTTACAGCAAAATGTATGAATTCAGGTCATGCCCCAATTATGTCTCCAAGGTGATGTCTATGCAGGCTTGCGTACGCGTTTGCAGTATGCAGGTCAGTGTGCGATTTTCGTGGTAAATGTGCGCGCCCGAGTCCAGCCCCAAAAGTGTTGTTTATAGAGGCTCGTGTGGAGTTTTACAGAAAGTGATGCAAAATGTATGGCGTTTCTGTAGTAAAATGTCTGGATTCAGGTCTTGTCCACCGAGAGGTCTTCCAGTCGACGTTATGTCGGCTTGTCTGCGTTTTCGCAGTAAAAATGTTTGGATTCAGGTCGATGTCTTCCAGGTGACGTTCATACAGGTCTGCGTGCATTTTTGAAAAAAAAATATGTGCATCCAGGTCCCACAAACACGAGGACAAACACAAGGACAAATACAAGGACGGACACGAAAGGACGGACACAAAAGGACGGACACAAGGACGGACACAAAAAGGTTCTTCCACAAAAGCAGGTGCCTTACACATCTCACAACTTACATCAACATATTTCAGAGATGCACATCTTCACATCTGCACATATCCAAACATGCACATCTTCACATCTGCACATATCCAAACATGCACATCTTCACATCTGCACATATCCAAACATGCACGTCTTCACATTTGCACATCTTCACGTCGTACATACTTCAGGAGGAATAAAGTTTCTTTTTTCATCTTTTTTCTTCTGCCGGGTCTTACAACATCTATGTGGATCAGCCGCGGTCGAATTAAGACCTCCATTTCGCATGGCCAGTGTGGGACCGCAGTTATCACTCTTTTAAAACTATACCTGTAACACTTAAACGGCGTTGGAGGGAGGAAATTTGACCGTATCAATTGAACTTAATGAATGAATGGCTTGCAGGATTCAACGGGGAAAGGGTTTTCACTTTAGGATCGTCAAGAAGAAATACTTTTGTCCTAGTGGTGTGCTATCTTCACATCTGCACATATCTGTCTGTCTGTCTGTCTGTCTGTCTGTCTGTCTGTCTGTCTGTCTGTCTTGTCCTGTCCTGTCCTGTCCTGTCCTGTCCTGTCCTGTCCTGTCCTG